ATTATTATTATCATCATTATTATAATTATTATTTACTCTTACAGTTACGTGATGCGTTTCTGGTCTCAAATTGTAGCTTTTTACTTCTTACAGTTTATAAATGTGTGCATTTCTGTCATTATGGTTCTTTTCCACAACACTGAATGTTGTAACAAAGGTAATAAAGAGTTGGTTATTATTATTATTAAGTCTCTTTCCGGCTCAGACTGCATAGGTTAAGTTTATGGGTCTGTCACGTGATGAACGAACGACTCAGAAAAACCCGAAGACTCGAGAGATGAACTAATCAATTCTCTTTCCGGCTCAGACTGCATTGGTTATACTTATGGGGCTGTCACGTGATGAACGAATGACTCGAAAAACCCGAAGACTCGAAACAGGTGTTAAAAAATATTTTGCACAGGAGAGACATGGTGTTGTTTCCAAACAAAAGGAAATATATCGTTATCGGCCAAAATGAGTTGAAAAATATCAGCATATTGCCAAAAATCCAATATCGTTCATCCCTAAAAATTATTATACAGTTGAATTATCAATTTGATTGCTCTGCCACTATAAGATGAGAACAAAACAACTTGAACTGAATTGAGCTGAATTATGACACTATTGTCTTCTATAGAGCTCCTTTATACCTGAATCAAAATTATTTGTACCGAATAAAGAGCTAAATGTGACTTGATTTAACCAACGTGTAATCAGTGGAATTGATGAAACATGATTCCTTAGGTGAAGTTGTTGGAGGCTATGGAGCATATGGACAAGGAGACATTTGATTTTAAGTTTGGCCAGGAGCTTGTGTACACCACACCCCTGAGTGACGGGCGGCTGGTGGAGCTGATCCCAGGAGGCAGTGGAGTGGTGGTCCGATATGAAGACCGCATGGAGTTCATACGCCTGGTACAGAAATCCAGACTAGAAGAGAGTAGGGAACAGGTAATACTACATTACAAAGTATACTGAGACTATTATAATTGAGATCAACAGAAAAAGGTTTTTTTTGCTAAGCATCTAGTTTTTTCGATCAGTCCGTAAAATTCTGTGCTGTGTTTCTGTGTTCAGATTGCTGCCATGCAGGCAGGACTGGTGAAAGTGGTGCCGCAAG